GGATACAGCCCCTCCACCCCCGCCCCCCTCTCAACGGACGCTTCCTGGTGGACTACTTGTTTTCGACTGAGTGAAGGAGTGGAAGGTTCACAGAAGGGACGGGCCCAAGATCCAAGAGCGGGGGATCCACTGCCGCTTCTCTGGTCCGTAGGACTCCCAGTCGAGCTAATACTGGATACTCCTACCCCTGCACCTAGAGTCCAAAATCTCTCTCAGTGTACTCAGAATTGCCGTCAAGCACCCACGGCAGAGGAGGTGCGGTGGAAGGAAGAACCAGAGGGCTTGTTTCCTACAGGTCTGAGCAGAAATACAAGTACATGGAATACTGGATGAACCTTCATGGCGAGTGGCAGCCAGAGCTTGACCGAAACCGGGTTGATAACTGCTTCCGCCTCTAATGGTACCGTGAAGCGTGGTCCCAACCTGCCTAATGTACCGGCCAGATGGAGATCCCTCATCAACAGCTCCACCTTCTGCCCCACTTGATAGCTTGGGGCACGGCATATTCGCAGGTCTGCAATCTGCCGGTTTCTTGATGCGGTGCATGACAGAGCTGCCCTGGTCTCCTTCCACACACGATGGGACCATCTCAGGTCGAGCTGTACAGACGGGATCTCCACCTGCCCCTCCTGAGATGGGAACAGCGGAGGTTGGTAACCATAGGCAGACATGAATGGAGACCGACCTGTGGCTGACGAGACGAGGATGTCGTGTACGTACTCCACTCAGGGTAGATGTCAATAAAGGTACCCGATTGGCCGCATAATATGAAAAATGGAAGTGAAACACAGAAATGGAGCGACATACCAGGCAAAATTACATTTGAAGCAGAACGGCTCTTTATTCTGGACCGAAACAAGACCACAATGATATCAAGGTGCTTATAACACAGTAAATAGTGTGACATCTCTAATTGTTTTTTTTTTCATCAACTTCACCTAACGGCCAGATATAATCGGCCAGATATAATTGGCAGTGGGCAACTTTTGGCCTGCGGGCCGCACTTTGTTGACAGTTGTACACTGTTACCTTTTAAAAGTGTCATGTAATTAATCGTAATGATGACTCCCGCAAGAGTACAATAAGTGCAAAATTGTTTTTTAAAAAGTTGATGTTCTGATCTCTCATACCAGAGAATGATGTGAAATGAATATTAAAATCCTCAAATATCACAAAAGATTGAGATTTAAACACATTATACTCTTTTATTTGAACTCTTAGCAATTTTCCTTTTCTTTCTGCTTTCATACATTAACATGGAGAAATACAACTTTGATTTTAAAACTGTCTTTTAATACTTTGACTAATACTGTAACCTTTCATTTTGCTATCGAATTGATATTAGGTCTGAACCTAGGGTTTTATATTTTATACAAGGCTACACTGTACTGTTTCAAAAAAAAGTTCAAACCACTGTTGTAACAATTGATGTAGTTATTTTTGATGTACCACTAGAGATAGCCTGTGTACTAATGCATGCATGTCATGACCAACACAGCTTTCTGTCAGGTGCTTTCATGAAAATGCCTCAGATGGGTGCTCATCACTGCTGTGATTTATTACGATTTTTTTTTTTTTTTCACAGAATCAAAATCTGTCCTGGCTAAATTGTAGCCGCAATGGTCAAAAACGATAAAAGCCCAAGGCGTTATCTTCCCAGGTATTAAATCTCATGTTAGGCCGATGAACATGTTCACGTGGGAAATTTGCAGTGTTGCAGAATTGTTTCCTTTTGGACACTTTCTTGGCAGCAAGACCTCACACAATCCTTGTTGCTCTCCTTGAGCGCATGATAGAGATGCTAGCATGCTAGAGGGTACATTTATGTAACAATCATATGTAAAAAAAAAAGTTTAACATTTAAATATTAACAAACTGGTCAGTACTATTTTATATATATATATATATA